CAACTTTCCTGCTTTTGTAAGTGGTACTGGCTTAGTGTGAGCCATGAGCTGGCTGCAGGACTCTAAGCAAATATATTTTCTGTGCCTTGTTTATTAATGGACAGAAAAGCTAGCCTAAAAATGAAATTGATTTTATTCACTTAGGATTTTATACTCCATTGCACAAGCACAACCCAGCAAATTCTTCATTAAGAGAGATAATTGCTTTAATGAAGATTAAATATAATTTAAAATTCACATTTATCTTTATCTACCTAATGCAGGTCAGAATTAGCCGAAAATGGTTAGAGAATTGGGAAGGTATGGATTTCTCCAAAAAATCTCCATTGGTTTATGCAGAGATGGGTCTGATCTGATAGTCATCCTGCCATTCTTCCTCCTTCCCCTCTTCCTCTCATTCTGTCCGCTACTGTCTCCCACATCAAGTGCAAATGAAACTTTCTGCTTTTGAATAATTCTAATTTGAGGATGTTTAGCAGAGGCAGCAGGATGGCAGCAATTAATACCCAGTATGCTCCATGATCGATGAAACACCGTATCACGATGGGCACGTGGGGGAGAAACAGTAAGATCAAAGAGTGGCAGGCTGGCTTTAGAAATGTCCTCCCTTCTTGAGACAGAGAGTTTCTCCTCCACCTGTCAAAGACAGGAAGCCAAGGATGACATCAAACAGATTGGTATTACTCACTGTTTCATGTGGTGTTAGAATTGTCCCTCATTATTGGCATTGGAACATATTGTGGAAAGAGTCCAGGAGACAGAAAAACAAAAGCTTAACTTCCAGCTTCTCCTCTTATCAAATGTGTGAGCTTAAAAGTATTTCTTAACATCTCTGAGTCTAGGCTCCTCACTTGTAAGATGAAAGTAGTAATGCTCATCTTGAGTTCAGAGATTTAGAGCACCTGGCACTGAGTGGGTACTCAAAAAAGTAATCTACTTCCACAACGAATTATGAGATTTCATCCAGAAGCTCTGAAACACTACGGCAGTGGCCCAGTTACCCACAGGTGACAGCAATGCTTCATTCTGCAGAAGGGGCCAGTGATTTTGCCCCAGGCTCTGCTAAAGGAGGAGAAGAGGGAGGCATGGCCTCGCCAGGCGCTGTAGCACAGACAGGCCCAGGCCTGAGTGTTCCAACATTCCATTTCCAGGGAGGAAAACTAAGTCTGGCTCAGTGAGAAGGTACAGCTAACTCCCAGAAGCAATAATTTAAATAATAGCTCTCATTTACTGCATACACATAGGACATGACATGTTATATGGAGGATCTTATTTAATTAGTTTGACTATATAATTTATCATCCAAATCAGAACACTTTCGGAGTGAAAGGCAATGCTATACATCATTACATCAAGACAACAGGTGTAAACCTGGATGGCCCTGGGAAAACCAATATGGTTCCCCCATGTTGAATCTGTGCAATTACTCTATGAGATATAAAACACTTTCTACTCTAGAGAAGAAAGCCATGACTCAGAGCAGTTCAACGTAACAAGCCCAAGGACATACTAACCAGCCAGTGGCCAACTCAGGGTTGAATCTCAGTCTGTAAGAAGCTAGAGGTTTTTTCCCCTAACATACTTCCTTCTTAAAACCCATTAGTCATGATATCAGCTGCCAAATCACGGCATTAATTTATTTTGAAAGCCTCTCTTTAATGAGTAAATAACAAATTTCCAGCTTTGGCTGATGACTTCCAAATGCTATGAAGAGGAAGGGCAAAAAAATGGGTGAAGTGAAAGCAAAATGATGCTAGTGAAGGCAGTCACACCCTCATCGGTCTCTGAGTTCTCAGTGCAGCCTGAACACCAAAGGCCTGAGTTAATGCTTATTGGAGCACGGAGAATGACAGTCAGTAGGGCCAGACATCAATGAGCTTCTTTCCCCATGTGCTGATCTACATATTTGTGCACCCAATGAGCTCCTGGATCTAGGTCAATTCACTGCTGATTTTTTAGTGATGTACAATCACAAAGAAACTTGCTTCACTTCTCTAACATGCCAGGATCTATTCTTTCCCCTGGGGCTTAATAGGTATAAAAATATTGAAAGATGATCAACATTCAGTCTGCTCCATGGTGTTTCAGTAGGTGAAATAGATGGGTGCCATGCACTCTCAGCCTTTAGCCCACTTGCCAATCACTGTTTGAGTTTTCCTTGTCTCTTTGTACACCAGGAGCAGGGCCAGCTGGGCCTCTATCAGAAGCTAGGCACACTGGCAGAGAAACAACAGCTCACATTCATCATAGATTCCAAACATTCTCAGTCACAAGTTCCTACTGAAAAACCATCTTCAAAGACTATCATCCTGACCAGGTACTTCAGTGATCCTGCAAAAGATCCCACTTGGGACATAAGTCAAAATTCAACCCTCTTTTTCTGATAGTGTGTGGTTTTAATATATCACTTAAACACTCTGAGCTTCAGATTTCTCAACTATAAAATGTTGCTTTTCAAACTTTAGTGGGCATAAAAACTACCTGTAGAGCCTGGTTAAAACCCATTCCTAGGGCCTGAGCTTGGACACTGATTTACTAGGTCTGGTGTGGAGCCAGAAGATTTGCATTTCTAGTTAAATTTCCAACTCATGATAATGATGATACTGTCCATGGACCACACTTTGAATTGTACTAAATTGTATCAATAATGCCAACCTCATAATTTGTCTAAATATCTGAAGAGAAGTGAGAAAACTTAGCAGAGCTGCTGACTCATACTGCCTCTCAATCAACGTGTATTCTTTGAAGAGAGGAAGAACAGAAGTCCAAGAGTATTAGGAATAAAACTTGGGGACATTCAATCATTTCTAAAATGCCAGGTACAAGATTTAATTACATTCCAATCCCCTTTGTTATAATACATTCTATGTGGCAATTAAAACGGGGTCCCAGTCTCTAATTATGAACGTACCCAAAGGCCTCCCAGTTCCCTGGGTTTTGTTTTTTAATCAAAAAACACCATTTTTGGCTCACAAGGTCCATGTGTCCTCTAGGCTCCGCTGCCTCACCAAGGCACCCAAACCCCATTTAAAATCATCTTGAGTACTCTTTAAAAAATAAAACATAAATCTTTCCATTTGAACAGTTTTCGGGAAACAGATGAAGGGCTATTTACTTTGCTGAAAACAGGAATCCCCTCTTACACCAATTGTCAATCCTCTGATCAACTGGAGTCCTTCAGCTTGTCCTTGTCTAATGCAGCTCAGTGATCAGGGAATCAGCCTCCCCACTTCCCGCACCTCCCTCCCCTCCCTGCATTCCAGTTTTCTCTCTTCACGACATTATTTAATCTCTTGGCTGCAGCTTCTCAGGATTAGCTACAGCATCTATTAATAGTTTTACTTCTGTTTACAGTTCCAAGGGGAGAAAAATGGCTCATTCCTTTTCTCCAATCTTGAAGATATGTCTTATTGCAGCAGGAGGAAGACGCACAGGCCCCTGAATAACCCATTTCCACAATCATTCCACTGTAAAGATGTTAATGTGCTTCTATGCCGAATGGATCCATTTAATAGGCAGAACAAGTTGGATATAAACTCTTTAATTGCTTTCAGCACACCGATTATCTTCCTGTGTCACCTATTGTATAATGTGAAAATGTTAACAAAAGCACTTACTGAAGACGTTACTGGGAATTAAAAAACAAAGAACCATCAGTTGTCACTAAATATGCCTTTCATGTTCCCAAATGAAATGCATTTGTGCTCTCAAGAAATCGAATAGAAACGTGCAGGCCTGCCATTGTCAGATGCAAACATCTTCATTAGATTTTGATACAGCTGCCGCAAGACTATAAAAAGAGCTATCAAAGCCCGCAACTCATTATTGGTTATTTCAGGAAGACTACAAAAAAAACAAAATCATCCCTAAACCTGCACTGATCTTTTCTGACAACTTCCCTGGCTGGGCAGTTTGTCTGGAAAGAGTGGCATGAAAAACCTCTGCTAAGCCTGCCCCTTGAAATGGTATCTCAAAGGACACAGTGCCTGTGGCTGTTAACAGAGATGCCACAATTGCACAGCCCACCTGTATTCTTGGACACTTGAGCCGCAAATCTCTGCCTCTCACCTGTCTAGTTCTCCTGTTCTGACCTAACTGCATCTCCTTAAGAGCATTTAAGCAAAAGTAGCAAAATCCAGGTCTTTATAGACCAAAACGGACAGAATAATATGTGTGACGACTCATAACATCTTTTCCCTGTTGCCATAAATCTTCCTATGTATATTGGCAGTCGGCTCATTTCTAGCATGTTATTTTCTGCAGACACTGGCTGTTTAAAAGAAGAAAAAGACTAGTCAAAGGAGCAAGCAGGGAGGGGAAGAAGAAAGAAAAGAAGAGGAGGGAAAAAGGGAGAAGAAAGGGGAAAAAGAAAGAGTGAGGGTTCCAGGGATGGTGTACAGAGGAAGTTATAGGAAGCAAACCATAAATGTCAAAATTACCTACAATTCTTCCTTCGAATTCTGGAGAAACAGAAGAGATCTTACAAAGCCCCGAACAGCATTCATATTAATCACAATCCCTAGCATCTTGACTTGGGGACCTCTTCAGTCAGGCACAAGTCTCCAGAGACTTCAGATAGATACCAAACAACCGAGAGAAAACAACTGTCAGAGGTGTCACTGTCATTCACGGAGGACTCTCTCCCCATGAGGTCTACACAACTCTCTCTTCATGATAAAGAGAAATGCGAATTAGAACCACTATTATTCAACCTAAATCAACAAGAAGGGAGGAACATGTGGACCACTAACTAAATCTGCTTTAAAGATTTTTGGCTCTGCCTTTAACTTCTGCACTCTATTATCTATTTTACGGTCAGAAGTAAATTGAAATGCTCAAAATATTGATGTAACATCACATCTGTTATTTGAATGAGGTACAAGTGCTCACTGGGGGATCAATTCATTATATTCATATTGTTATTAAAACTATCACCCAAATCTAAATGTTTTTGAGACCCATAATGTATTTTTCCTTGCATGTAACACCCCTACTCCTTCAAAACATGACCTTTTCTGTGCTCGCTTTGAAACAACACAGAGAAGATTAGCATGACCCCAGTGCAAGGATGATGCACAAATTTGTGAAGTGTTTCATACTTTTTCAATTAAAAAAATAATAATAAAGTGTATTCATTTTTAAAAAGCATTTTAAAAAAGTGACATTTCACAGGGCTCCAACCATCACCTTCCCTCTTGCTAATTGTCTGAGTTGATGGAGTCAGACTAATAAGAAAAGCAAAAGCTAAGACTCACATGTCCTCCAACCAGAATGGGGCTTAGAGCTGGGAACCTAATGCAGCCCGACCACCTTTCTCAAATGTGGGTCTGATCACAAGGCTCCCCTGGGTAACACCAGTCAGTGATTGCCTCTTGCCCTTCAGATAAAATCACATCCCTGCTGTGTGGCTACACACAAGTCATTCAACCTCTCTCTGGCTCAGTTTCCTCTTCTATAAAACGGTGATAATAACCACTAGGAAATTGTATGTAAAGCACTTAGCAGAAAGCCAATAAATGCTCAGTAGTATGATTGATGGTATCTCACACCAGCCATGTTTCTTCCCCTTGCAGCCACACTCAAAACAATGAGTTCCCCAGCTCTCCCATGACTTTTCTTGCCTTTATGCCTTAGCTTGTTATCTTTTTTTTTTCTGTTTTTAACACTTCCTTCTTTCTCCTGGCCCTTGGCCAGCTTTATTCCTATTAATTTATAAACTGCCAGCTTAAATGCATATTATCAAGACGGCCGACCCTGACTCCCAGGCCAGGTTTGCTTCCCCAAGTATATGTACTCCCTCCACTATAACATGTGTCATGCATTACTGTAACATCTTGCTTGTCTGAAATAGCCCTAAAGGACCCAAGATCAGATCGCCTTGCTCATGGCTGTACTTCTCTGCAGCAAGCACAGTGTACTGAAGGGGAACTGGATTATAGTGCAACTGAAAAAGAATTCTTAGCAGATTACAAGGACAAAAGATTAGTCCTTGTTCACCCTACAAGAATCACAGGACAGTTCTACAGTATTTTTATGCCAAGTCCCAGGCTTGATGGATGCCCCAGACCCTACTACACTGCTGGTCGCATGGTAGAGAGAAAGGGAACCCAGGAATTATTTACGGCCTCTCCTAAGACTTCCATTTAGAAGTGTCACACCTAATTCCTTCTCACATTTTATTGTCTAAGGCAAGTCACATGGTAAAGCCTGATGTCCATCAGGTGGGAAATCCCAGTGCAGGAGGGACACTACAGAGAAAGAAACTGTAGTATTTAGTAACCTGTCATAGATAAAACAGATCTCCATAAGTGTTAATTTAATAAAATATTTCTTTGCTGCAAGTTGACAAACATAAACCTCACACCAATCAATTCAAATCTGGCCAGAAACTTCTCTGTTACTCACGTGATATCCATTTCAGAAATTTTTGACTTTTTTGAAAAATTTTGACAAAGTTAAAAGCTGTTTTTTGTTTGTTTGTTTGTTTGTTTTTGCCACAGGCACTAGTTGTATGCCGGGTTACAAGCCACACCAGGATGTACACCACTTTTGAGTAAAGAATAACAATTAGGTTCAACAACAAAAACAACAAAATCCCCATGGTTTGACTGCTTACTCTGTGCAATATGAACATGGACACCTGAGGTTATGTCCAGCCTCACAGAACTATTAGGCAAAATGGGAACCTTCAAGATCAGTTTCTCTGATCTCTCAGAAGAGACCCCCCAAAGCCGATGACTTACCAGGTGCAAGCAGCTAAATAGAAGCATAGCCAGAACTAAGATGTGACTCACCAATTTTAAAGCAAGTGCTCTTTCAATTATAGCAAAGCCTTTCCATAAGGAATTTCACCAGAAGTGAATGACTGGAAGATAATACCATTTAACAGATGAGGAAACTTTGAGACCCAGGGAAGTGAAGTGACTTTCCCTAAGCTGTCCACAGTGTGGTTCTGTTTTGCTTGGCCACACAAAACCTTAAGGAAATATAAGTTGTTTCAGAATCTAGAATTATACCTGCTCTTCACTGAGGGATCAAAGAAGTATTTGTTGAATTGACTCGAAATGAATTGAAATGATTGACTTGAACTGAGTTGCACTGAAATGACACAAAATGTAGAGATGCATTTTTCCCTGTTGTCCAGTCTTTGTTTCCATTTCCTCTGGAGTTTTAGACCTGCCAATCCATCAAGTTACACACCCACAACTATAACCTTGTTAGTTTCTCCTCTATAACATCCTTGTTCACTGTTCCTTCTACATTTATAACTGCCATCTTCTTTTGAGCAGAAACAAATTAATATCTAGAAATCTTGTCATCTCATGACATTTACAGAACAACATAGGATCTGGAAAGTCAAATCACCAATGATAAGGGGCCCTGAAAGACCATTAGACACAGAACTTTATTCCCTCTGAGCTGAGAGGTCAGCTACAAAAGTGACATAACCCAGAAGCTCCTAAGTCACAAGAACAAATGCCATTAACTGTTGTCTCCGGACAACCAAGTGATACATATGAGGAATAAGAATTAAATTTGGAGAGAGAATACAGATTCTGGCTGGGCTCCAAGGCTGAGGGATATTAAATAAGAAAGAAACAATAGTGCTGTCAAGTCTAATTGTTTAAAACATAAAACTCTTTCCATATGTCTTGAGATGAATAGGGTTGCACAGTATCAGGATGCTCTGTGAAGTCACACAAAGAAAGAACAGCATATACCATTCAGGTTGAAAATCTTGTCTACAGGGAATTTGACTCTGCTTTCTTTTCCTTCTCCTTGTGACCCACCCAGGTACACAGACATTTGAAAATAGCTATAGGAAAAGCATATTATGAGGCCTCCTTACCATGTAACAGATTTTACTATCGTATGAGAAATGGATGGGCTTTGCAGTCAGAGATCATTTGGTTCCAACCCTGAAAATACTCCTTATTGTTGTGTGATCTCAGCCACAACTTTCTCACCTGTAAACAGAGACTATATTCTTATGGCCTAAGGATGTGCTAAGGATTAAGTGAGATAAAGGATCTAAAGTGACTGGAATTTAGTAGGCATTCATTACCAGGTACCTTCTTTACTTTTTCCTTTAAACACATGAAGATGCCATCATCCACTTAGCAGCTTCATCTAAGTCCATGATGAAACGAGAGAAATTTTTCCCTCATTGACAAAAATTGAGAGGTGCCTGCATTTTGTCCCTTCAGTTAATTAACATAGGTTTGCTGAGACCCACTCATAAGCAAAATTCTGTGGTAGTACTGTAAAGGTTACAAAGTCTTACTGTGTGGAATCTTTAAAGCTAAGGCACTTGTTGAAGTCCCTTTCCACCAGTTATGACATTAAGTAATCAAGATTATTCGGCCTTTTAAGTATTTGTTTTTCTTTATGGGACACATGTGTTCAGTATAAAAATAATAATAATAATAAAAACCAAACTACTGAGTCTCAAGGTAGAATCAGTGGGGTCTGTTTCATACTAGATTATTTGGAAATTATTTGTTTCCAAACAGTTTTCATTTTACATTTTATTTTATTTATATCTTCATTTATATCCATACCTTCTTGTAACTGCATATACATTGTTTTATGACAGAAAGAAGACTACGCAGGGGGTTGAAGCCCTGCTTCCCATATTTTCATGGGAATAAGAATTGCCATTGTGTTTCTTCTTCCTGGAACCTCAATTTCTTCATTGTAAAATCAGATTTCCTGAATAGATGGTTTCTAAAGTCATTCCTCTACATAAAAGTTAAAATACAGTAAAAAGTACTTAGGACTCTTCACTAATGTGTGGGTGTGCATTTATGAAGGATACATTCATTCCCTAGAACATAACTCTACAGCAATTTCATGGAGATAGATACCATCATATGAATGCAAGTTCACATATCACATAGTACACCAAGGTGTCAATGAATGGAAGATTCTCAGAAGACTTTCAAACTGCTGTTTACTTCAGTATTTCCTGGGACAGTCCAGAGATGGGTTCAAGGGTAGTACCAGAGGTCTTCTCCGTTGGCCTCTCAGGGCTGCTATATAACACAGAGATGATCATAGGCCAGTTGGACACACAGTTTTGAGAGGTTTAACTGACCTCATGATGCCTTAATTACAGCCCCAATTAAAATCACTGAACCGCATCTCAGGACTAATAGGGACGGGGAAAAAAAACACTTCAGTAAGATTTTATAAAGAGGCACTGCCCAATGATACAATATTTTTGACTGTTATCTCCCAATTCCTCCCTGAACTCATCACTCAAATAACCTCAATTCCATTGGAAACAACTAGAATCATTAAGACCAGAACCTTGAGGGGGGAAGTTTGTGAAACCTGCATTGTCAGACGTCTGATCTTCTTTATGACTTTCTACCACTGCAAAATCATTAAATTAGCCCTATATATTCCACATTTCTAACTTCTAAATTCCTGGTGTATCTGAGTATTTTAATTTCTTATATATTATTTATAAGGACCAGTACTCATGTATATCAAAAATCTTCTTGCACATAGATTTTATAACAAAAATTGAAAAAATATGTATTATTTTCCTGTTTCATAACCATTGCAGCCTAATGCAGAAATCTGCGTGAAAGAAGGAAAAAAAAACAGAATAAAAAGAAACGTATTTTCCATCACAAAAAATTGTAACTTGGAGAAGAAAAAGGGCAATTACATAAACAAATCAATTCAGCTTCAGGGAATGTGTAACTCACATAGATTTCTGGTTGAAACCCAGATGCAAAGGGAGAAGAAACAGATATAAAATATTTCTGTATAATTCATCCCAATTCTGTATGAATATTAAGCCTCTATGTGGTTAATATTAGGTTCTTGTTTTATTAACATTCACTGACCTCTTTAATAAATGATCCACCCAATATCTACTGACTCAGAATATCTAAAAAGGAGGACAGCTTCACATTTATTAAAAAAAAAAAAAAGAAGAAAGAAAATGTTACACAGGTGATTCTGATACAGGTCTTGCTCAAAAAAAAGACAAAAACATAGTATATATTATTGGTGCACATAGTCCTCTCTTAGGGGAAGCATTTTCTTGGATATTGTCAGACTTTTTTTCTCCAGTTCCTCTAGTGATA